CCCTTTCTGTTGCCAGCTTCCCATTCATTGTCATTTGCAAATCCTTCCCCGCCCCGATCTCCCATTACCAGCCTGCACCTGGAATGTCTTTTCTGCCTCATTTTCAAGATCAGTTTCTCCAAGACAGCCTACCTGGTCCTCCTGATCTCCCTAAAGCGTCTCTTTCCTAAACCACCTAAAAATGTCCTCCCTTTTCCTGACTCCCAATTTGGGTAAGGTGTCACTCCTATGTATACAAACATCCTGTTTTCACCATACCACATATTTGTAATGCATATTTTTGTTATATAACACATACAGAGAGGCCGGGCATGGTGGCTCACGCCTGTAATCTTTGGAGGCCAAGGCAAGTGGATCACCTGAGGTTGGGAGTTCAAGACCAGCCTGACCAACATGGTGAAACCGCGTCTTTAAAAATAAATAAATAGGCCAGGTGCGGTGGCTCGAGCCTGTAATCCCAGCACTTTGGGAGGCCGAGGTGGGTGGATCACGAAGTCAAGAGATCAAGACCATCCTGGTCAACATGGTGAAACCCCGTCTCTACTAAAAAAATACAAAACATTAGCTGAACATGGTGGCGCGTGCCTGTAATCCCAGCTACTCAGGAGGCTGAGGCAGGAGAATTGCCTGAACCCAGGAGGCAGAGGTTGCGGTGAGCCGAGATAGCGCCATTGCACTCCAGCCTGGGTAACAAGAGTGAAACTCCGTCTCAAATAAATAAATGCACCCTCTCAACTGTGAGCTCTGCCTTCCTCCCCAAAGGTAATCATATCCTCACTTCCAAATCGATTCATGCTGTTTGCCTGCTTTTACGTTTTATGTAAATGTAATACGTAGTTTTATATAAATGTAATAAATCATACAGTCTGAGTTTTGTGAGATTTTTTATTTGTTGTATATAGCAATTATTCACTCCTTTTCATTATGTAGTATTTCAGCATATGAAACCACACTAATTTCTTTTCTTTTCTTTTTTTTTGAGATGGAGTTTTGCCCTTGTCGCCCAGGCTGGAGTGCAATGTTGTAATCTCGGCTCACTGCAACCTTCGCCTCTCAGGTTCAAGCGATTCTCCTGCTTCAGCCGCCTGAGTAGCTGGGATTACCAGCACCCACAGGCAATCACACCCACGCTCAGCTAATTTTTTTATTTTTAGCAGAGACTGGGTTTCACCATGTTGGCTAGGCTGGTCTCGGACTCCAGACTGCTAGTGGTCCGCCTGCCTTGGCCTCCCAAAATGCTAGAATTACAGGTGTGAGCTGCTGCGCCCGGCCACACGCTAATTTCTTTATTCATTTTCCTTAGGTGGACATTTTGAATGGTTCCCATTTTGGGACCATCTTGAATAGTATTACAGTGAACACTATTGACAATTTTTTATTGCATATTATGTGCACTCTTTGGGGTCTATACCATGAAAGAAAACTACTGGGCCACAAGTTATAACTATCTTCGTCTCTAGCAGATACTGCCAAGCAGTTTTCCAAAAGGATGCACAAATTTATACGCCCACGGCAATGTATATTTTTGCAGCTGCTTCTCATCTTCGTCAATCACTGACAGTGTCTGTAACTGTAAATTTTCCCTCTCTCTCTCCCTCTCCATCCCCCTCTCTTTGCCTAGCATGACATCTAGAAGGTATCTTTGTAACAGTCTGGTGAATTAACAAATGGATGACTAGCAAGCACACAGCTGTTTGCTTCTGTGCTGCTCACCTCTGAGGTGGGATACAGTAACGGCTATAAGCATGGGCTTTGGGCCAGACGGACATGATTTGACTTTCAATCCCACCACTTCCTGATCAGCTAATGACCGTTCTCTGCTAGCTTCTTCACTTTTGACATCACAGGGTTGTTACGAAGATCAAACACCTGAGTCCAGAATACTTAGAACAGCCGGCCATGGCGGCTCACGCCTGTTTCCCCCAACTTGGGAGTTCAAGACCAGCCTGGGCAACATGGTGAAACCACATCTCTGCAAAAAATACAAAGAAAAAAAAAAATTAGTCAGGCATGATGGCACATGCTGGTAGTCCCAGCTACTTGGGAGGCTGAGGTGGTAGGGTCATCTTAGTCCAGGAGGTTGAGGCTGCTGTGAGTCATGAATATACCACTGTACTCCAGATGATAGAGACAGACGCTATAGACCCTATCTCAAAAACAAACAAACAAACAAACAAACAAAAACAAATTTAGAACAACGTCTGACACATAATAAGAGCTCAGTGAAATTAGCTGTTACTATTACAATCCAGTTCTCAGGGCCTGCATCCCATTAGAGTTCCTAGAATTGATTAGGAAGAATCTTAGGGCCTCCACTTAGTAAAGCCTGCTCTAGGCACCTGACCCCACAGAGAGCCTCTGGACTTCTGATGTTCCCTTTATCCTTCGTTCACCTCCTGTCATATATTAAGAGTAGGTGCCCTGTCTCCCCAAGTGGATGGCAAATTCTGTAAAGACAGTGACTGACTTATTCTTTTTGGTTAGCAGTGGTTTTAGAGTCCTATTTTAGCTTATGAGAATCTTAGCTGAATGGATTCCCGCAAACCCATATTGAGTAGACCTATAGCTGGTCCAATCAATTGTCATGCTCAAAGGCAGGCTGGCTGGGACTCCGGGAATGTGCTGGCAGGGATATGCCCCACTCCCTTAGGTAAAAGATACCTCTGCACGCACATTATCTGACAGCACAGTGCTTAGTAAATATTTGTCATGTGTTTATTGATCTCCTGTTCTTTCTTAACTTCCCTGTTCTTGCCTTGTTCTCTTCCCACCCACTCGCGCTTGATGTTATCTCCCATCTGGGTGACAATGCCTGGGTCTCCTCTGGCACCTTTCCATTCTGGAGAAACACAATTCAGATCTTCTATAGCGATGGACTACAATCTGATAAACCAGACTTCTACACTCAAAAAAAAAAAAAAAATACTTTATAACTCGTGACTGGCCCATCTGAGTTATCTATAATTAGATTGCAGGTTCCTAAGCCTGCTTGAACTGTGTTCAGATACAAATGAGATTTAAGCACTTTTTGTTCAAGGAGGAATTCATAACTGTTACTGAGAATGAGAATGAGTGGGAATATGCAATGAGTCTCTCTGCTAGAGCTGGCATCAACCTTTACTAGGAAAATACGTGCTTTGAACTCTTATTTGTCTACTGCGTTTGGTAGGGAACTTAATACATAGCTAATGCCTGTAAAGCAGAAAGTCAACTGCAGAGCATGACCCATGACCCACCTTGAGCAAGAAGTGATCGACTCTCTTTCATCTTATTCCTTCCCTGGATTATGAGAGAGAACTCCATTATCTCCTAAACTGTTTGGCTTTTGGAAACCTGGTAGGGTAGGAGAGAGGGACTGAGGGAAAGTGAGGCGAGACCCAAGAGCAGGGATAAGAGGAAAGAAGCTCACAACTTTCCCTCGGGGAAATCCCTGTGCAAACTGGAAGGGCAGGGTAGCGCAGGTGCAGCGGGCTTAGAGGGTGCTTGTGCAATTAAGGCAGCAGCGAGATCCACCGTTTGGGGACTCCCTGATTATTTGTTAGGTCTTTGTGTGGAAGGCCTAGAAGAGTGAAAAAATCCAAAGCCTTTGGATTCAAGATGTCCTAGGATGGTGCCACCATGCTTTCTCCCGCACAGCATATTCAATGGGGTGAGCTCTAGGAGTGCACTCTGCCACGCAGCCCCAGAGCCTGCTGGGCCCTTAGGGTGCTAGGTAAGACACTGGCTCAAGAGGCTTCAGTCCAAGCCAGGGATGAGCTCCTTCCAGGTCCCTTTACTGAGCCCACTCTGGACTTGGGTCAACTGAAGCCTTAAGTCCAGCCAGGTCAGCTTTTTTGGAAAATATCCACTTACTTAAAACATTCTCCCCAGCACTTTGGGAAGCCGAGGCAGGAGAATCACCTGAGGCCAGGGGTGAATCGCTTGAGGCCAGGGGTTCAAGATCAGCCTGGCCCACATGGTGAAACTCCGTCTCTACTAAAATACAAACATTAGTCAGGCATGGTGGTACACGGCTGTAGTCCCAGCTACTCAGGAGGCTGAGGCGGTGGAATCACTTGAACCCAGGAGGTAGAGGCTGCAGTGAACCAAGACCACACCACTGCACTCCAGCCTAGGCAACTGAGATGTGTGTCTCAAAAACAATTCTCAGCCTCTTGAGTGGCGTTCTCCTAAACATACAGACTGTTTCTCAATTTCCATCTCAACAAACTGCTTCAAGCCTGCCTTCTTCATCAGGTTTTGTAAGGGCAGAGTTGCCTGCTTTGTCCTGAGCACTCACTCAGAATAGAGCCTGGCCCAGAGTAGGCTTTCAAATATCAAATATTTCTGGAAAGAATTACCTATTACTGAAGACAAGACAAATGACAGGACAAACAGACCAACTTCACAGGATGGGCAATAAATACAGGAGGCATTACATCATAGCCATCCTTGCGAGATGAGTACATTGAAAAGGATGTCTTTAAATGGATTTACAATGACAGACAGACACCATAAAATCCTTCTAGAAAGGCCTGGTATCTAGGTTGGCTTTAAGACCATCCTGTACTCCCCTGGAGTCAGAAACCACTGCTGCTGGGAGCAAACCACTAAGCTGGAAATTACAGCAGGATTTTCACGATTCTCAATTTTTTTTTTTTTTTTTTTTTTTTGAGACAGTTTCGCTCGTTACCCAGGCCGGAGTGCAATGGCACGATCTCGGCTCACCGCAACCTCCACCTCCTGGGTTCAGGCCATTCTCCTGCCTCAGCCTCCTGAGTAGCTGGGATTACAGGCATGCACCACCATGCCCAGCTAGTTTTTTGTATTTTTAGTATTTACGGGGTTTCACCATGTTGACCAGGATGGTCTCGATCTCTCCACCTCGTGATCCACCCGCCTCAGCCTCCCAAAGTGCTGGGATTACAGGCTTGAGCCACCGCGCCCAGCGATTCTCAATTTTTAACTAACCCATGATTGCCCCCTTCACCAAAACGTACAAAATAACACATGACACAATATATGTAAATAGTTTTCAAGGTTTTATTGCAAACCAAAATCGGTTTATCACACACAAAAAAAGTTGTGTGATAAGAGAAAGGATTGTACATATTATAACCATGTTAATTACAGTACATTAAAATGGTGGTTTACATTACAAATAAGCCTGTAAGTTTAAATATACTAGTGTTATAACCCAATGTACAGACTCTCTTTATATAATACATACAATTACCAGGAATGCCAGAAAAAAAAAAAAAAAAAAACCATAAATAATGCCCATTTTACAGGTGACATTTTAAACAATGAAAAACACCAACAGCTCTGACTGACAACTGGGGCATTGGTCCATAAAAACCCTTTCTAAAAATAGAAATATTTGTAGCAGCAATGCTTTCTTTAAGCATCTGAATACAAGTCATTGCAAGACCATTTCAATAAATTTTAGTTATTAACCATATCTTACAAAAAAAGTCTACACATAAATTTATCTTCCAAATATGGAAGAAACAAACAATGTCCCACGTTGTAGTGTCCTGCAAGTGTCACATTGATGCTTATAACAAAATCCATCTGCGACCAGGCATACCACACTCACACGACTGTTCACACAGCATGTCCACAAGGAAAAAATAAAGAACTGAAACAACTCTGCCATAGGAAAAGCTTTGGAGCTAACACAATCTCTTCGGAAAAGGCACATTTCATAATATTCATCATCACAGCCCAGAGAGACCGGCAGGAGATCGTTCCGAGAACAGCGTCCGCCTTCTAACGAAACTCCCGCCTCGGTCTGCCTGAGGCGGCGCTCTAATGCTCGTTTCAGAGATAGCACCACGTTGGGAGGAAGAATAAAAATGAAAACCTCGTGAGCTCACTGAGGAGGATGTGCTCTTCGAAAAGCTTCCAGCAAACAGTGTGCAGTAGGATTGCTAAGCTTCCAGAGATGTGCAAATTCTCTTGTGAGATGTCCTGTCGGCTGGCGGCTCCACCAAAAGGCTAAGTAAAACATTCGGAAACACACATCAAATCCTTTAGAAGCAAACCCTGACCGTGTTCAGAGGAAGGAGTCCGTGGGAGGCGCGTAGGAAAACCCTAGGAAAGCCTCGGCAGCTTCCTTGACGCTGGCTGTGACGAGGCTGCTGTCGGGGGACTTGCCAATGGAGTTGGGGACAGGCTCTTCGGTAAACTCAGGGTCAAAGTGCCGCAGGTCGCTGGGCCCGCTCTGTGACGGGAAGGAAAAAACACTGTTGTCAAGAACGCATGCAGGACCCAGGACGGGACAATCGTGGCCAGGCTTTAAATTCCAAGTTTAAGCCTGACATCAACTTCCACAATCACCCATTTCAAGCACAAACTCTCAAAAGGCTACACACATTTTAAGCAGAAGACTAGTGTTCACTTTTTGCCTTTTGATACTTCTAATTGATACATGTGTTTACAAATTATGGAAGCCTTGCTGGGACATACAAATGTACTTTTTCCGTAGGTAAAATAATGGGTTTATGGAGCAAATATCTGCCAATTTATTCCTTCCTCCCCTCCCCCAGGCAATTCTGAATGAAAAGAAATGCCCTGTTGGCTTCCCGATACTTAGAAGAGAGACAGATACTCACCACATTTGGGTTAAAAGGGGGCGTAATCTTCTTATTAATGAGATCATCCCAGTTAATTAGGGAAAAGAAGACATGACTCTTAATCTCCATCTGTTGGTAAGAAACCCAAGATTCGTTTAGACAGGTGCATTCACTAAGGGCAGGGAGGTCCCGTGCCCGTCCCAGCCGGCCCAGGAGAGCAGGAAAACATCACTCACAAAGTCATCCTGGGCCCCAAGCCGCTGGGTCCTGTCCTTCTGCAGGAGGCTCTCCAGGAGGTGTCTTGCGGAATTTGTAATATTTGGTTTCAGCTGGAGGGGCTTGTTCAGAATGTTGTCATACATCTCAGCTGTGTTTCGGCTATAAAAAGGAGGCTGAAAGAAGGGGAAAATTACTTTAGACTTAATTGAAGTTTTGGATAGCATATATTACCCATAGAGAAAAAGATGTAAACTGCAATAAATGTGATGCTGGATTTGAGACTCGCCCCAACTCGATGTGTTCTTTTCCCTTGCTATTTAAGTGTCTACTCTGCAACCATTATGGGTGTGTGTGCGTGTGTGTGTGTGTGTGTGTGTGTGTGTGTGTAGGGTGAGGGGATAGATAATAAGTGGTAGTTTTTTTTTTTTTACCACCACACAGGTTAAGTGTGGTCCTATTTAGTGAAATGTGAAAAGCACAAAATAACTAGTTAAGTGATTATTCTTATGAAACAGAAAATAACCAATATGCCTCTTAGTTGCTTCTGATAGGCCTACTGATAAGGGTAAGACACATGGCCAAGCATGAACTGTACTAAGACAATATTCTAAACAGCAGGTGGTGTTTCATGATTCCCAATGCGCCACTCACCAGGCCATAAAGCATCTCATACAAGACGGCTCCCAGACACCACCAGTCCACGGTCCTGTCATAAGGCTGCTTATGAAGCACCTCAGGTGCGAGATACTGACAGACAGACCAGAGAAATGGAGTTCAGAACCTGAGAATGCATTCCACACCCACAGACTTAGTTTGAAAAAGCTGAGAGATCCAGAGCCAGCTTGGAGGATACATATCTTTAGATTACCTCCAGATAAAACTGCTGGACCTTTTGAGGGTGACTGGCTACCTTTGTATACTGATATTGAGGAAACGGCTGGGCATTCAACATATCTTACATGGGGATGTAGAAAACTTTTGGAATGCAGCTCTTACAGCTAGTTTTCAGTAAAGCCACAGAAGGCCTTGGGATTTCTCATGCTACATCAAACAGCAAATGCATTTTATTTGCATTGAGTTGTACTAAGAAATCTGAGAGGAGTTTACTCTTTTGGGAGTTAAAGACATGATTGATTGCACAACTCTCTCCTGGAAGGCAGGGGGGTAAAACAGGCACCAAACCAAATAGCGCCTACCTCCGGCGTGCCACAGAAGGTGGAAGTCGTGCTGTTGTGTTCAATGTTCTCCTTGCAGAGTCCAAAGTCAGTAAGGACAATGTGTCCCTGTGAATCTAGCAAAATATTCTCTGGTTTTAAGTCTCTGCAAAAAACCGAAGAGAGAAGTCGTTGCACAAGTTAATTTCACTTAAGATATCCTCTGTAAAGTAACTGCTAAAGGTATGAGAAGCATTTTAGGTTCACTGTAGTTCTATAGTGAAGCAAAAAGGGAGGCCTTGTTCTGCTCATCTATTCTGGATTAGGCACAATCCTACTTGGCCGGTTCCCCAGTGGCATGAAGTCAAGCCAGCTCACATGCTAGGGGATCTGGTTTTAGGCAAACAAGTTGCACATAATCACAGATTATTTTAAGGTCCTATCAAAGAGCCAGTGCAACAGTCTCCTTTACACCAAGCAGGTAGCCTTAGAGCTCTCTGGCTTACCTATAAACGATGTTCAGTGAGTGCAGGTAGCCCAAGGCACTGGCTATTTCAGCAGCATAGAAACGAGCCCGTGGTTCCAGGAAGCAGCGTTCCCGCTGGAGATGGTAGAACAACTGCAGGAGACAGACAGAGTCAGTCTGGGTTGCAAATGCATTTAATTCGTTTTGACATACACAGCAAAAGCACAAGTGCAGAAAGTAGCCTCCCAAGTAATCTATTAACTACTTAAATCTGACATGTTGAAGGAAATGCTAATTCTGGTAACTTTCCCCCCACCAAGTAGCCCTGAAAACTTTCTTCTCAAACTAAAACAAAGCAGGCTGTGCAGAGACACTAAGAGTTGACTTCTATTCCCCCTGCTCACCTCTCCACCATTAATGTAGTCCAGGACAAAGTACAATTTGTCAGCAGTCTGGAAAGAGAAGTGAAGGCCCACCAGGAAAGGGTGTTTCACGTTCTTCAACAGAACATTCCGCTCCGACATAATATGCTTCTCCTAGGAAAACGCCAATTCAGATTTAGTGGCAAATATCGACTTGGCACCAAAATTCCAAGGTCAAGATTATTCAAGTTGTGTCTACCTCCAATGCCAACCCCATCAAGCACATCTCATACCTCTTTCTTTTTTAGGATTGCTTTCTTCTGTAAAACTTTGACTGCATAGAACACTTCTTCTGCCTTGTGTCTTGCCAGAAGAACCTGAAATTTCAATTTTAAAAAATTAGTTTTCTATCCTCATCCAGGGAGAATGGAAAACGAATGCATGAAGGAGTATATCAAAACATCTTCAGATTTGAAATTACCTTTCCAAAACTGCCCTTGCCAATCACTTTCAGGAAGTGAAAATCAGATGGTTTAGCATGAGGATTGGATGAGGGACCAAGGTTGATTTGCTGAGAAGGACTTGGCTAGAAAAACAGAAGGATTTTTTTTTTTTTTTAAATATCACTGCTTTAAAGGAAGACATCTATAATACAGACAGTGTAGAAGATGCTACATCTACAAATGACTGAGGCAAATGACTGTACATCTATAAACATTCAGAACTGCATCACAAGCCATTTCAAATGAGTATGGAAACTGTACACAATCATGTTGTTTCAGACAGATAAAACATTTTAATAAAATACGCCTTTTAAAATCCACTTTGGAGGTAAAGTATGCCCAAGAAAAAATACAATCGAATAATACTCTAACTCAATACTTAAATGTGTGTTATCACTTGTTATGCCATAAAGTAATGAAGCATTCTTGCCTTGATATTAATATCTGGAAATGCTATTTTAATCCATGAATGTAGGCATACTAACTGAGCTCCCTTAGTTCTCCAGAGATGCACTGCACAAAGAGAATACTTACTGGAGGAGAAGGGTTGGCATTCATAAGCTCAGGCTCCTGAGGTTGGGAGATTTTCAAGATGGACTGAACTTCAGGGCTGCAGGGAATAAAGTGATGATTTAGAATCCAGCTCGCCACTAGGCGGCACACTAACATCACTAGTGAGTTTCTGGCTCTACTGACTTCCATCCGGATAATTCAGTGTTTCAACTGAAAACACACCAATACACTGCGACTCGGTTAAAGAAAATACTGAACCCCGTTAAATACAGAAATAAGGATTGTTGTCCATGGATAAAGGGCGTGAATTTGGCAGAGACGAACCATTTATCTTACATCTCCAAGTCAAATCAGCAACCCAACTTTAATGTTTAAAGTGTCAAACATACTGGAATTTAAGGAGAAAAGAGATCCCCATCCCAGAAGAAGTCTTCGCCTTCCCGATAAACGCAGTGAGGAGTGTTTACTGCTGGCAAATTCCAACTATACTGGTCATTCTTATTTCCTCAAATCCCGTCAAACTTACTGTTTGCATGCATAGGAGTTATTGGCAATCTTCTGAATAAAGTCGTTCAAGCCCATCCTCCTCTGCTTCATGAAAGCTGTGGATTAAGGAAGAGAAATAAAGAAACGTTTAGACGGCTTCATAACGTCCAGCGCCACATACACTAATCTGATCCGGGACTTTCAAAAAATGTCCATTTTGCGTCTCCTGGAACCGAAGTCCCGTCTGATTCCTGCACTCACCGATGAGAATTGCCACCATGCCCCTCATCCTGGAGTAAGTGAGGGTGCCCTTAGCAGCCTCGCTTTTCACCGTCATCGTCACCCCGGGGAGACCTGAGGATATTTGCGCCCGGAGACCCGCTCGGCGTCTGCGGCGCTGAGATGCGCGCTCGACCTTATAAGGGAGGCGCCACCGCGGGGCGGGGCCTGCGCGCCCATGAGAGCGGCCCCGCCCCCTCCCCCGCCCCCGCCGCCTCCCGGTTTGCCTGCGGCGTCGCTGCCCGCGGCGGACGGTTCTGTCCCCATTGAGAGGCCGAGCCCCGAGCCGGCTAGGGGCGGGAGCACCGCCCGGGGAGGGCCTGGCGCGGGGCCGTTATCTGCCTCCATCGGCCCCCGAGGCGGGAGCGAGAGAACGCGCCGGTGGAGGGCGCGGGGAGGGCCGGAGAGCCCGGGGTAGTTTTCCACCTCTTATTCCGCCGCCCGAGGAAGCCGGGGTCGCAGCGCCGAAGCGCTTCCCGACGGGTGCGCGGCGGCTACGGTGGCTTCGCTCACCCGCTCCCTGCAGGTTCCCTCTTGGCCGCCTGGCGCCGTCCCGCGACCCGACCCGGACCCTCCTCCCCGGCCCGAGCCGGCGGCGCGCGCCACCCGCCGGGGTTATCTCTGGGGCGCGGGGCGGCGCGCGCGACCTCGCCTGCCGGGTCCGCCCGCCCCCGCCGCGGAGACCCCGGCCCCCCAGCACTCGGCGACAGCCGGCCCGGGCCGCCGAGCCCGCGCTGGGGAAGTGAGCCAAGTCCCCCGCGGGCCGGCGGCGGCGCTTACCCAGTCCGCTCAGCAGGAAGGACTCGCTCCTTTTCTGCGCCTCGGCCCTCTTTTTGTGGCGGGGCCGCAGCAGGGACTCGAGCCGGGCCCTGGCCAGCGCGCCCTGCATCTCCCCCATGGGCAGCGGGCGGCGGGGCGCGCGGCGGCGAGAGCGACCGGCGAGCACTGACGTTTCCTTGAAGGAGCCGCCGTGACTCAGGCCGGGCAAGATTTCCTGCCCCAAGTCCCAAAACAAACAAATGGCCCTTGTGCACGGTCGGGTCGCTTCCGAAAACGCCTTTTTTGTGCTTTTGGCCAAAACCAAGCAAGGCTGAAAAATCCCAGAACTTGGAAGAGGAGGAAGGAAGGAAAGAAAGAGGGAAGGGGGGAGGGAGAGGTCAGGAATGTGGAGGGGAGGGGGCGGAAATAAAAGTCGTCTCTGCACCAAAGGGGGAAAAAAAGCACAATCTGCATTTCACTTTTTTTTTTTTTTCTTAAGTAATCTCAGAACATTTTGTCCGTTCCGTATGTAATTTTTTTTCCTTGCATTTTTAATCTCTGCCATGCCAAGAACACGTGAGGAGGTAACAAGTGAAGGGAGAGGTAGCTTTGCCTGGGGGCCGGCCTGGCGTGACCCGGGCATCCTCGATTCCCCTAGCGGGCCTGCTCCTCTCGCGTTCTCCCACCTGAAAACCCTGCAGGTCACGATACACGGTCTTAAAACCGTCCCTACCAGGCCTCGGGTTTAACTCAACGCTGCCCCAGGGCTCGTCTGAGTCTTGCCACCTCGCTCTTTCGAGTCCCGCATAAACTGACTTTATTCTGAAAGATTAGCCGGGTGACTCCGCTGCAGAAGACAGAGAAGGAAGGGAAGCTGGAGGCGGCGGCCCGGGCTCTGCCGGTGCCTTCCAGTAACCCCGCGGCTGGAGGGTGTCTGGGGGCCGCGGCCTGACAGCCGGCGCGAGGACGCGCGCCAGTGCTGGCTGGGAAGCCGCGAGCACAGCGACCGGGCTGGGAGCGGGCAGCTACAAGTTACCACTATTCGCAGGGCCAGCCAGGTACCTGGCGCTCGGTGGTGCTGTCTGCGGTGGCTGTCCTGCCATGACCTCTTCCTGCCAAGGGCTCTGCCATTTTAAAGTTGCTTACTGGATCTGGCATAGTCCCGAAATACCAGCTGTCAAACCAGGAATAGCATGTGAAACGCCTTTCCCTGGGTCTTGGGCAGGGGTTTGTTTTGCAGGCACAACCACCCCACTTGCCCTAAAGTGATCTCTAGTCTCAACTGCTTCTCGGTTAGCTTTGTTGCAACCGTCCCAAACCGAGAGAAGGGAAACACACATTCTTTCTCCTGGAGTCTGGCTAAGAAATTTTGCTCAGTGCCCACACTTTTAAAAAGCACTTAAACTAGTACCTGAAATTGACAGACCAACTGAAAGCAATGTTTAGGCAATTCAGATCACAGCAGCTGGCTCATGTCTGCTTCCTCTTGCACAGAATCTTCATAGAATATGACTTCGTTACTGCCAATGCCACCCATGTCATGTCCCACCAGTCAACTAGCCTAGACCAGCCTAGCCCTGCTCCCACCTGGTTCCTTCCCCTCTTGAGAGGTCAGATTTTCTCAGACTGCCCAGAAACATCAACCTGCACATAGAGTTTTGCATGTTTGTTTTCAAACATAATTAAGAAACCTACAACCAAAGATGCTCTCCTACACCGCACCTTATGTGCTTTCCCCATGCCAAGTAACCCCAAATCCTCCAAGGCATCTGCAAAATATAGTACTGTAAGTACTAACCTTTTAAAGGGGATTTTTTAGTTTCATCTTTCATTCTTCGTGTTGCCCAGGAATAGGCAGATTGGGGATTACTTCTGGAGGCTGGCAATAGAGCTCAGTTATGGCTGGAGTAAGCCTCCCTGCATATTCCTCTGATAAGCTGGAAGCTCTGAGACGACACGAGAGGCGGCTGTCCCTGTTCTGTTATGAACCCCACTTTATATCAAGGCAATTTAAATACAGGAAGGGAGCAAGCTGCAAAGTTCAACACTGGGCCATTTATTTTCCCCATTGCAACATCACTCAGAAAATTACAGTCATCAGCGTCCTAGCTTTATTACACCCCCAGCACGACACACAAGAGATGTAACTCAACTGATGATCATCACAAATCAGTCCAGAAAAAATTCAAAACACATGCACAGGGTTCATTTTCTCAAAGAGGCTCTGTGGCATGCATTCCTGGAGGAACGTGGAATTCAAGTTGAAGGACTCTACGCGGAATAGAGAAGAGATGCAACCATATGATTTGCGGTTGGAAAAGAAAGGGAACGTCTGATGTGCTCCTTCCTCCCCCTACCCCAGTGTTCAGCACTTGGAGACGGATGGTCTGCTAAACTTATCATTTAACTAAGAGAATCAAGTTGTTGAGACTGGCTTTTCTTCCAACCGGATACCTGATGGGTGGAGCAGGCGCCCCCTGTTCTGTCCCAGCAACCTACTAAGACTTCCGAACAGGAAGGTGACACACGGCGGAGGGGTGCTTGGGGGGAAGGGGAGACGGGGGAGCTGAGTGTGATGCGCGCCTGTTAGCACTGCACAGGCTTTAGGTTGCCCTGTGGCTGCTATTCAAATGCTTGATCTGTCCTTCCTTCCTGTCGCCAGCCTCTTTCTTTGGTCCAGATAGTCCTCCCACCGGGAGGAATCCGGCCCCTTTCCTCTTACTGCCTGGTGACGAAGTGGTCAGAGTTGCCTCGGCGAACTCCGCTTGTAAATGCAACCTAGAGGGCGATCGAGTTCTCTGGGAGAACTTGCTCCAAATACGCGACTTCCCCCACTTGTCTCCGGAGGTTCTATTGGTCCAGAGAATTTCTCTGCAACACCTTGTGCAGACATAGAAAATACAGACGGGTTGATATGAGATAGGCTAATTACCTCCCCACTCCTCCAAGGGAATTGTCTCACATTTATGTCTCGGTGCTGGGAAAACTGTAATCAAACCCTCAAATGGAAATGATTGACCAAGATAAAAAGTTTGCAGTGAAACTAAACATTTCCCAGTATATACGCATTTTAATGCTTCAGAATTTTTTTTTTCGCTCTTCTATTTTATTTATCTATAGTCTGACGGACTACAAGTGCTAAAACCTGAGAACTGCACAGAGATAACGACTTTTTCCATTTAATTTAAAAGGCTTACAAATTACGGATACTTCTCAACGTATTAGAGAAAATATTTTGAAAAATATTTTTATAAGGACTTAACTATATTCCACTCTTAGATAACTTCTTAAATGTGTCAGCTTTAATGGTCATGATTCCCCATGTATGTTATTGTCCATTGATAAGACAATATAATTGTTTCGTATTGTTCAAAGTACCATCAATTTCAGAACAATCCTATGCACAGTTTAAGTTCCTGTACTTTTTGATTCATTGTTTGATGCAAATAGAAACCTTTCCCTGGAACACCCTCAAAAAAGCACATAGAGACACCAGAAAACGTAATCATTACAATTATAGAAAACATAATTATTACTCTAGAGAGAAATGGAATAGATCGGTTTTTGTTGAAGGTTGTCAGCAAAAGCACGTCTTTTTTTTTTTTTTTTTTTTTTACAATATTCATCCAATAGAAAATGATGATGACAAATGGGTTACTTCATGATAGCTATTACAGACAAGTCACTAGTAATAGTGGTTATTTAGATGTCTATTTATAGTCACAGGTTCTATAGTATTTATTATCTACCATATTCATAATTGTCAAAATTGATATGCATAAAAATAAGAATGTGATATAGTAGATAAGAGAACACTATCTGTAATCATAGTGTTAAAAGTTATTAAGACCCACAAAACTAATTACTTATTGCAGGGCTTATTATTTTTTCCAAGACAGAGGTGATAATATTCTACACTCATTCCTTCTAGAAAGCAAACCCATACGAAAGTTTAAGGGAGGGTAGGAGCATCATTTGGCAGTAGCTTTTTTATGTCATTCAGGGAATAAAGTAGAGAGAAGAAGCCAGTGGGAGCCCTTGACATAGGAAGAATGAGAAGCTTTTCTTTTTCTTTTCT